GGAGGGGTTCTGTTGGTGGAGTCAAAGAAAGGTGCTCCGGTCTAGACTCTGGCACGCACTGTCTCGTGGCCCCGAATGCATCCCGTAGCTCTGTGAGCCTCAGTCTCTTCTGCTGTGGCCCAGCATGCTTGAAGGACGGGAGGGGTGACATCTGCCGAATCTTTGTGCTCGACAAAGCTCCACACAAATGCTATGCATGTGGCGGTGATGGTTACAGGCGGATTTTCCAATAGTTGGCAAATAAATTCAGGGTTGTTCGTTCCCCTGCCAGGGATTAGAAGAGGTTTTAGTTTTTTTTCTTTTTTTCTGGAAGGCCTTGTGGAATTTCATGCAACCAAATCCCAACCAGGTACACCCAGACCTTGGACTCTGGACAACCTGTCTGGGCATCACCATAGCCTACTCTGATTATCTGCTCAGTTTGTCACTTGCCGTCCTAGAAAGCCAGGACACTCCCTCTGGGGCTGCCTTCGTCACACACTGTGCCCCAGGAATCCTCTGTCTTGGCCTCAGCAGTGTTGGCCCAGAGTAGCTGGGCCCTTCCTTGGTGAGAATCGGGAGAGGCTGGCTCAGATTCCGTAACTCAGAAGATGAGTTAATACTGTTAAGCTCTTAAAAAAAGACTTGGCACATAGCAGATTCTCCTTAAGGATTAGCTATTTTTATTAGCAGCTTAGAATAGTGCTTGACACATAGCAAGGGCCATACCTGTGTTTGCTATTTTTATTGTTAATATTATCATTCATTCATTTAGTCAATCAACAAACTTTTCTTACAGGTCTTCTTGGTACTAGGCAAGGCATGAGGCACCAGGGAGAACATGACAGTCCGTTCCCTCAAGGTGCTTAGAGTCTAGAGAGAAGAGGCAGACACGTAAGCAAGACCACAGCAAGAGAGGGAGAGAGCGTGTGGGCAGAGAGGTGGCCTCGAGCCTAGCCTGGAGAGGAGGGCGTGCAGGGAGGCAGTAACAGCAGGGAGAGATTCGGAGGAGTGCATGGCTCACGGCAAGGCCCTGGAGGAGGCAACCAGGTGCTGCGCCTTTTGCGAGACAGCCCGGGGAATGAGGGGAGAGACAGAGCGCGTGTCAGGAGCAGCACGTGTGTAGCGCGAGCGGGGGGACCAGGGGTGGCCGTGGGCAAGTGCAGAGGCACAGGGCAGCGTGGGAGGCCGACCAGCTGGGCCGCAGAATTCAGAGTCATCCTCTAGGCCAGACAGGTCCCCAGCCCTGGTGCCCTATAGCATTCCACCAAAAATGGCACAGAGAAAAGATTTCAGGATCAAATCAATACATTTCCAAGCCATGCCTGCTACTGTGCCAGGCCCTTTGGAGAGTCCCAGGAGGGCATTAGCACACAAAAGGCTCTGAGAAGTCCTGCAGGGGAGAACAGAGTGGTTAGCCTCATTGCTCCTCAGGCCTGATGGATCTCTGAATCCTTTCTCCTCCTGTATGTCAGCCTGGCACTGGGCCAGTGCATTGCCAGGAGCGGTTTGTGAAACGGCCATCATGCTGGGAAGGGCTTCAGCAGGGAGGCCGACCCCCATCAGCAACGAGGGCAGATTGGAGAAAGAGACGCCAAGATGAGAGGCTGGGTTGGGAGTCTGTCGCTGGGGATGCGAGCGGGCTCAAAGGAGAGGAAGCGGGCACGGGTGCTGTGAGGCGGCGCGATTATCTAGCATTGACAGGCGACTGTCACTGTGACTCGGGAATCCGGACCAAGAGTTCCAGGCTTGCCCCCAGAGTTAGTAAGTGGGTGGCCGAGGAAAGCCACTCTTCCTCCTCCAGCCCGAGGGCGCCGTCCTCTGCCACCGCGCCCCAGAGGCCGTGGCCTGTTTCTTCCTCTGAGCCGGGCATCAAGGAGCTGGCCTAGCCCTACAGCATCGGGTGAAAGAGCCAATTGACACACATGTATTTAGTGCCTTCTGTGTACTTGCCTGAGTGCTAAGCCCTGGGAGGGAAGGACAGAGGGCACCAATCACCTAGTGCGGGAGAAAGGACCTTGGGGTGAAAACTGAGCCACCAGTCCCCGCGCTGCAGTGCCACTGGGTGACCTTGGCGAGTTCCTTAGCCCTTGTATTCACATCTTGTGGCTGTGAAACAAATTACTGCAAAGAGGGTGGCTTGAAACAACAGAAATTCATTTTCTCACCATTCCGGAGGCTGGAAGCCCAATATCAAGGTGTCTCGGGGCCACACACCCACGGAAGGCTGTGAGAGAGGACCTTCCTGCCTCTCCCGGCTCTGGCAGCCCCAGGCACCCCTGGCGTGTGGCTGCGCACTGCGCTGTCTGCCTGCATCCCCACGCGGCATCGCCTCTGGCCTCAAAATCCCTCCCTTTTCTCATAAATGCATCAGTCACCGGGTTTAGGGCCCAGTCTAAGTCCGGGATGATTTTACCTTGAGATTCTTAACTTGATTACATCTGCGAAGACCCGATCTCCACATAGGCCCATTCACAGCACCAGGCCCTACGGCTTGGACCACTGTGGCGGCGTAGGGACTGCGACATACATGTGGCGGCCTGTGTTCTGTCCTCAGCCCCGAGTGGGTGGGGGAGGAGGAAGTGCCGCCTTCTCTAGAACTGCAGACATTTGTCACTTGACTGGTCGCAGCAGCCGGGAGAGCAGCAGTCTCCCAGCTGAGCTCCAGTGGGCCTGGGCTGCGGCCTGAGAGGAGCCGCGGGGAGCCCCGGGCTGCGTGGCCTGAGAGGAGCTGCGGGGAGCCCCGGGCTGCGGCCTGAGAGGAGCCGCGGGGAGCCCCAGGCTGCGGCCTGAGAGGAGCCTCGGGGAGCCCCGGGCTGAGGCCTGAGAGGAGCCGCGGGGAGCCCCAGGCTGCATGGCCTGAGAGAAGCCGCGGGGAGCCCCAGGCTGTGGCCTGAGAGGAGCCGCGGGGAGCCCTGGGCTGCGCGGCCCCTGCCCTCACGGCGTGCCGCGCCGTGGGGATGCGTGGACAGACTCGTGGCTGGTCCCCAGACCCTGGGGGCGAGGGAAGCAGGACAGGGCACAGTCTGTGGCGTAGGGAAGGCAGTCCCCATAGGTGCCAGCTCAGCTTCGGCCTGGTGGCGGGTCCGGAGCAGCCGGGCCAGCGCCAGCACGGCGCAGGAAACCCGCAAACGCGTGCTCGCCCGACGCCGCCCGACGCCGACGCGCCCACGCTCAGGCTGACCTAGGACAGACGGGAAGGGAGACAAAAGATGCTGAGAATACAAAGCCCACAGGGTCCGGAGACGACTGTTCATGAGGCGGAGGAGGATGGAGCTGAGGGTGGTCCCAGGCTACTGGTTCGGGCGACGGGGATGGCGGGGGCTCTGCGTGACAGAGGAAGAGGGGGTTAGGGACAGCTGGACTCCTGTCAACAAGGCCCAGTGTTCGGGCGCTCGCCGCGGCCGGGGCAGCCCGCTAGCTCCTGCTGCGCATCACCTTGTCCACAGCCCTGTAAATAAACAGAATTGCCTCACAACTGACAAAACTGAGGCGAAGAGCAGGTAGGGGCCTGTTACCAGGAAGTGATCCCGGCTTCACTGGCAGTCTTCCTGGTCCCCGGCAGACCAAGGCGGCTCCTCAGTAAGGGCCTAAAATCCTAGGGGACGGTTCCCCAAATCCTAGTTGCGTCATGCCCGGTGTGGTGCGGAGTATGTTTTCATACTAAAAGCAGCGTGGACACAAACCTTATTTCAAACAGGAATTCAGTGTTGTGCTTCCTGGCTGTGTGACTTCCTTCACACAGCTGCCCTCTCTGGGCCTCCCTCGTCTGTGACGTGTGCCCCCGCGGCTGCTGTGGAGAAGGGGGGCCTGGGGTGCAGGCGCAGGGTAAGCCGTGGCCAGGTGGAGCGCGTCGCTGGAGCAGCAGGACCGTGGCCTCTGGCCGCATTCAAGTGTGAAGCTGCTGCGCTCCCCTGCCCACGGCCCTCCCCCTCACGCTGCGTGAGTGACAGCTTGGAGACTCAATCGAGACACTCATCGTCACAGCATGTTGCGGTTCCTGAGGCAGATTTGGGCTGCTCTGACAACTGTAAAATGGAATTATGTCTGTAAATTAATTTGCTAGAAAATAATCAACATTTCACGCAGAAAAATCAAAATTTTCCTGGAAGCCAATGGGAACAATTGGACCTTGGGATGCAGCCCTGGCCTAGTGACTTGGGGGCAAGGCGGCGACATTCACCCCTCACTCAGTCCCTCAGAGAGTGGCAGGGTCGGGGGCCCAGGACAAATGCAGGACCCTGAAGAACGAGGGTCACCGCACTCGGGCCCCCATCCTTCACATTTTTTTCTACTAAGGTAAAATTCGCATGACACAAAATTAGGTATTTCCAAGGGAACGATTCAGTGGCATTTAGATCATCCACAGTGTTGTGCAGCCACCACCTCTACCTAGTTCCAGAACGTTGCCTTCACCCCCAAAGGAAAGCCATGAATAAGCACTGGGTTCCCCCCTCCAGCCTCCAGCCCCCGGCAACCTCCAATCTGCTCTCTGCCTCTGCGGATTTACTTACTCTGGGCATTTCATGTTAGGTCCCACCTACGCTAAGATGAAATCGTCCCTGAGCTAGGTTAGGCACCAGGCACAAAGAGTTCTGAACGTCCTGGTTGTTCGGACGCCCGGCGTGGGTATTGGTGCCACAAGCAGGGTGGCATTTATCAAGGTTCCCAACCTCTTGGAGGCTCAGTTCCTCCTCTTCGCTTTGAGCTGTCCCAGCCGACTGAGACTCGTGTTTCGTACCAGCCACCTCCCCAGGGGGCTTTCCCTCACTGTCCCGGGGTAGACCCTCCCACCGGACGCCATCTGTGCTCTGCCCTGGGCCGCATGGGCGCTCCCTGTGATGCCTGCACCTTGTTCTCAGCTCCCGGCTCACTGAGGCCAGAGTCACGTGGCAGAGTGGAAAAAGTACAGGTCTCACTGTCCATTAGAGCTGGGTTCGCATCCTGGTGTCCCTCTCTAAGGGGTGGTGGCTGCGAAACTGTGACACACAATGATGTTCTCTTTGTCCTGTCGTTGGCAGCCCCAGAAGTGTTCCAGGTGTACGTGGACGGAGGCCCCGGGTACTCCTACCCCGTCGACTGGTGGTCCCTGGGCGTCACGGCCTACGAGCTCCTGCGGGGCTGGGTAAGGCGTGTGCCTGTGTGGTGGACGCGAGGGGCGTGTGCTGGGGGCTCGAGTTGTGCCAGGCTGGGTGAGTTGGCAGGGCACGCCGCTGGGACAGCGCACCGTGGAAGACACCGACACCGTTATGTCCTTAGAGCCCCAGTGCCCAGCACAGAGCCGGCAGAAGGCAGGCTCCTCCCACTGGCTGCAGTCCCACTGCTGTTTCGTGGTCATTTGCGTGCACGCATTTTCATGCCCGAAGAAGGTGCCTAGAGGGTCCACAGTGCTTTATTCACTGTGGGGGGCCCCGTGCATGGGGATGATGGGTGTTGAATGAGTGAATAAATGAGTGAGTGAAAGATGAGAGCACTTGTAAATCGTAAACACTATGTGAGTGCAAATAAGTTTTATTTATTACCCTGTAGTTCAAGCAACTATTTTCTGCTCTTGATCTCAATCATTTCTCCTGAATTCATCATAAGCGTAATTACTGTATATGGTGTTTTACGGTGCAAAGAAAATAAGAACTTGCTCACTTTCGTAGGCACTGACTGCAAAGAGATAATGTCCCCGGGTTGGCTTGTTCCTCCGGGTCTGTCTGGTCACATGCTCAGAGGACTCTGCAGTCGGAACACTGTGGGAACCAGAGTGCACGGGCACCCGCCAGGGCTGTTCGTCTTTCGTAAGCACGAATGACCTTGGCGAGCGGTTGCCCTAAGCATGGCAGACACCGCCAACGGCGAGAATATTGGCTATCATCCCTACGGGTCAGTGCGATGGAAGATGACGGCTTGGCAACAAGCCCCAGGAATGGAGTGGCCCCTGCTGCACCACAAATACCTGTTTCACTTTTAACTCCTCTGAGTTTTCTGCTTAAAGACCCAGGTGCCACTTTCAACAGAATGGGAGAGGTGAATAGTAGGGTCGCAGCCTTGGGCATGGGACGACGGGATAGAACGAGAGGATGCATGTAAACCTTTCTCCCAGATACTGTTTCCTGGCTTAATCGTTGACCCAAAGGGTAACACGTTGATACAAATAGTTTATTCTCTATTTTTCACACTAGAAACAATTGATTTAGTCAAAAGCTATATGAAGAACACTCACATTTATCCATGAAGTATGTAAATTTAGGCGTATCCTTCCTCTTTGCAATTCCTCAGTCGTGGCAGTGGCAGCGTCCCTGATGGCATCCAAGGGCTCCTTCCTTCCACAGACGAAAGAAAGTCCCAACGGGTTCCCAGTACGTGTTCTAGCATCTCAGAGTTGGGAAGCATTCAAACCGACGGGTGGTGGGAAGTCGAAGGCATTCATGTGGTTTGTTGGCCAGAGACCCAGGAGTACTCCAGACGTGGCCTGGGAAACAGCAGTCTGTCCTCACTGTGTAGGGACACGGACGGGCCGAGTCAGTGTCACTGGCAGGCTTGAGACCCTGTGGGTTTGGAGGGAGCTTGTAGCCTGGACAGGACATGAGCAGGCTCCCGCTTCTGTCTGATCTCAGATCAGAGTCTTAGCTCTTAGCCCGTGGCCCTGCCACAGGAAAGAAAGGGGCCCACGCGGGTGCCACCCACCAGGATTCCCTTTTGGAGCCCAGTGCCCAGCCACCCTGGCATTCGGCCCACACCCTCTGAAAAGAGAGGGTGGAGACAGCCATGAGGACAACTCCCACAGAGACAGGAGGGTCCTCCGCCCAGCCATTGTCCCAGCCCGCCTGGAAGGCTGACAGGTGATCACCCACCTGTTCACTGGCTACCCTCAGGATCCAGGAAGCTCCTTACCACCAGAAAGAATCTCTTTCATTTTTGGACAGCTCTAATGGCTGGAAATTTCCTCCCCTTACTCAACCAAAAGCTGCTTGCTCATAACAGAGAAAAGGAACCTTGGAGGACTGTCACGGGTTCAAATCCTGACTCCACAGATGCCCCATCTGGGATCTTACGTGAGGCTTTTAAGCAGACTCAGTGCTCAGAATTCTTTTGCGTTAACGAAAAACAGTTAATAATTCTATTTACCCAACAGGGTTGCCTTGAGAATTAAATGATTCCAACGATGTAAATCACCCAGCACGTGACTGATGACAGTCCGCTGGTCAGCTCCCTCCCCTGCCCTGGGACTCCTAGCGCAGAGGGCCGGCTAGCTAGCCTGTGTCCTCCCCAAGCCAGCACCCCAGTCACCAAAGCCCGGCTCGCACCCTGCCGCCTTAGCGAGGAGGCTCGCGGGCTTTCCACCAGAGATGGGCTTCCGCCACCCCTGTGCTTCTTGGCTGCGGTTTGGGCTAAATTGCTGCATTCCTCTGAGCACTGGCTTCCTTGTTCATAAAAGGAGCGTTAGGCCCACCTGCGGTCACCACGGGACTAAGTGAGAAAATGCGGCCAGGGCACAGGGGCACACCAAAGGCACGCACATGGTGATGAAGCCACAAGACTGGGCGCAGGCAGCGCCGGACGGCTGCGGTGCGGGGAGCGGGGTGTCTGGGCAGGCATTCCAGCCGGTCACTCGCGTGTCTGGAGGAAACGGTGTGAGCACAGCGGGGGAGGGGAGGCTAAGGCCGCTTCAGCAGACACTTGGTCCCGACCACCTGTCAGAGGACAGTCAGCGGACAGTCCGTAAAGGGCCCGAGGCCAGCTGGAGGCACTCGGCTGTTCCCTGTGGGCGGGGCGGTGCACCGCGGTGTTTAAGCAGGGACGTGGCAGCGCAGCGACTGTGATCTGTGGAATGGCCGATGTCTGGGTTCAGCCCTCGCTTTGCCACACAATCTCTGAACGATCTGTGGTGAGCCTGTTTGGTGGGAATAGTCTCACAGGCCCGTGGCACCGGGCTTCTCAGCCTCAGTGGACCGTGGACGCTGGGCCAGGTGATTCCTCGTGGTGTGGGGCGACCCTCTGCATGGCGGGTGTGGCGGCATTGCTGGCTCGGGGCACTGATGCCCAGCGGAAATCCCCACCCAGTTATGGCAGCCAGACGGGTCTCCACACACTGCCGGATACTCCTGTGGACAAGCCGACCCTGGCTGGGAGCCCTGCCGCAGAGTAAGCAAGGTGCCAGGTGAGACCCCGCCTGCCTGCCGGCTGTCGGCACCTGGCGCTGCTCGGGGCTCCGTGCAGACAAGGGCGGGGCCCTGAAAGCCACTCTGTGCTCCCGGAGGACTTGGCCTTCGTCACTGGCCCACCAGCCACGTCCCGGCCTTTGACCCAGGCAGCACCTCTCTTTGGGGATGTGTGGACAGAGAGCGTGGGGGGCAGAGAGGGGTGTCTGTGGCCCCCCAGGGGTAGCAGAGCAGTACCGAGAGCCACTAGGGGCACGCAGCTGGGTGGGCTCTGCCTGGAGAAAGAACAGACGGTGTGTCAACCTAACAAAGGGGGGCTGGTCCTTGGGGTGAGTGCCGGCTTCTGGTCCCTTAGTACAGCAGACAGAGCACTGTGCCAGGAGTCAGAGCCTGGGAAGTAACAGAGTCCTTGGCCTCCATTCAAGGGTAGGGGAAGGACCTTCTTGAAGGTTCTGTGGTTTCAGGCTATTTCTGGACTTCAGAGCCCTGCAGAAATGACTCGACAGTCCAGAGGGGGAAAAACGTTTGTTCAAGCCTTGAAGGTTTAAATTGCCTGAGGAATGGTTCTTCACTTTCATCTGTTCTGTGTTTGGGATTTCAAGTAAAAAGATTTGGGGAAAAAACATTGGCTTGGGTAGTCTCCAAGGCCCAGCTCAGCTTTAATGGTTAAAATAACAGGTCTGTGGCAATTCTTTTCCTCTGTCTTCTATTTCTTGGTAAATTGGCATATTTTGGTAAACTGAGTTTCCTGGAATGGAGAGCCGCCTGCACTGCACAGCGAGTGCTGTCCAGTGCCCTGCTCCTGACTGTCCTGTCACTTTCACCAGCTGTACACGCAATTACCTGTGAATACCACCTGCTGTTCTGCGTGGACACACGCTAGGGCCAGTGAGTGAGCACTACGCATCAGCAGAATTCGTCACCACCAGCAGGCAGAATGGCATCTTCATAGCTGCCAGTGATGTTGCAGAGGGACCTGGGTTTCTCTGCAACCACCCAGACCGATGGGGCTGAGCCTGGAGCCAGCGGCTGTGAGCTCATTTTAGCCATCGTGTGGGACTAATTCTAAGTGTACTTCCTGACGGGCCCACGGCGTGCTGCAGCCACGGTCCCCATTGCGACCATCGTTCTTACTGTGAGTGGTCTGTCCCTCCAGACGGGAGAGGGTTGCAGATTAGAGAGAGCACGTAGCTCAGTAGCGTGTGCGAGGGGAAAGCAGAACCCATGAGTGCCTTGTGGTGACCGGGAAGGAAATAGAGAATGACATGTAAATCAGAGAGGTTGTTACGTTTGTTTCTGGCTGGTTCTCCAGTTGGGTGCCTGGCTTCTCAGGTTCTGATGCAATGGCAGAAAGAGCAGGGAATGAGAACCGGGTCTCTCTGGACGCTGGGAAAGTCTCTTTCTGTCCCTGAGCCTCCATTCCTGACCTTCGGACTGAGGGAGGAGGAGAGAGGCGTCATCTCCCAGGGTCTCCGCAGCTCTGGCAACTGGGTTTCCATGGGGCGCGGGCCTAGGGTGGGCTGAACCGTGTATCATATGAAAGGCAAAGAGTGGGAAGAAGCCACGGAACAGAGCTCTTGGCCCGCCCATCAGCAGAGGGTGGGCCCGAGCTCTGGTCCTCCTCCCTCCCATCCCCATGCCTGTTGGAGATTCTAGAGAGCTCCCTTCCCCCACGTGTGCCAGGCGCTCCCGTTGGTCCCTGCCCAGCACGCGTTCCCCCCGGACTCTGTAGTGCTGCCCTCCCTCCGAAAGGGCGCGAGCCGCAGGGCCGGTCTACAGAGGCAAAAGCAGGAGTCAGACGCCTCCAGGCAGGCTCTGCATGTGGCCGGAGAGGGCTTGCCCGCTGCATGTGCTTGCACACACTGGTGGCCAAACAGGAGAGTGTGTCCTCCCACAGCTCTGCAGGCCGAGTCTGAGGTCAGGGAGCCGCAGAGCCGCCCCCAGCCTGAGCGGGAGGCTCTGCTCCAGGCCTTTCTCCCGGCTGCAGGGGCTGTCTTCTTCCTGTTTCTTCACATTGTCTTTCCGCTACATGCGCCTCTCTCTGTGCCTTGATTTCCCCTTTGTACGGAGTTCCCCCTTTCTAAAAGGACACCAGTCATGTTGGATTAGGCCTTCTTTAATGACCTCATGCTGGTTTGATTATGTCTGTGAACACCCTCCCTCCAAGCAAGGTCCTGGGGGGTTAGGACCCTAACTTATGAATTCCGGGGCCACAACTCCGCCTGTAACGGGAGCGGTCAGAGGCACTCCTCGGTGAGCCACGCTGCCTTTAACCTCAGTGCCCAGCTCCAGAGTGCGGCGCCTCTGTCTCGTCTCCTGTGTTGCGGGTCTCTGGCTCGTGCGGACTGCGCTTTGCGCACGTAAGGAGCTCTGTCACAGTGGGGGCTTGTCACCCTACAATAGTTGTCCTGCTGGTGGGTGCAAAGGGCCAGGCGGATGCAACAGCAGTGCCTTTAGGTGGAAAGTTTCAATGCTTGGTCCTGGAAGTCCACCTCGCTTCCCACCAGAGGGAAAAAGTACCTGGAGAAATATTTAAGGAATGTCAGTGAATCAAGTCAGTTAGCCTTGCAAGAGAGCTCACGGGCTTTGGTTGGGTGCCCTATATGACAGGGCGAAAGGAACAGTTTCCCATTCGATTACCAGGCAGGGGAGGGGCGGCCGGTCCGAGAAGGCCCCTTTCTGGGCGGCACGCCAGAAGGCAGCGCCGGCGCGCTGTGCGGGCAGAGCCTTCTCCAGGGGACCTGGGCTGGCGGCGCCAAAGGTGCTCCTTCACCCTGGGGAGCCACAGCCCACCCGAGCTCAGGGCCTCTTGCCCCTTCGGGTCGGCAGCTGCTAGCCACTGCAGCCCTGTGGGAGCTGAGTTCCATGAGGCTGGGGCAGGGCCTTGAATGCTGGTCCCAGCATGGTGTCTGCCTCACGGTGACTGTCCAGTCCACACTTGTGGATGGACTGATACTTCCATCCTCACCATGCTCTGGGACCCTGCTCAATGGCAGACACTGCTCAGGGCCTACAGATGAGCGTGATAAAATCCCCCCTTCAAGGAGTCCCCAGTTCCGTGGAGGAGACAGACAGCAACAGTTACACTGCTGCGTGTTAACAAGGGAATTCCGTACTCGACAATCAAGGTCGCATGGATTCATCATGAATTCATTCCTCACCTCTCTCCAGGGCCAGTGCAGGTGCTGCACCACATGTGCTAGGAAGTGACTGCTTTTCTAGTCCCAAGACCGTTTGGCCATGATGCAAACCCAAAAGCATCTTGGGCCACAAAGCCAGGTGGCCAGGTGGAGGGTGAAGGGCTCCAAGAGAATTGTTCCCTCAGTGGAAGGTGGGGGTGGGGCAGGGAGGGCGAGACGGTGCTCACTCTCTGAGCCCCTCCCCAGGGTCACAGTCAAGAAAGGCTTTGAGAAGTGCGTAGGAGCAAGAAACCGCCAGTGGCAATGTTGAAAGGACACAGGAGGCTTCAAACTGGGGGAGAACAGAGCTTCGTGTCCTCACTGTGGGGGGCACGCCCAGAGGCCAGCCGTCTCAGCCCTGCCCACGCCAGGAGCCAGTTCAGCCAAGACAGAGGAGGTGGGGCTGAGGCCCCCAGTAGCCCAGCAGGTGGGGGCTGTGACTGGAGGTGTCCCTGGGTGCCTGTTAGATGGTGGGAGTCAACCCTCCACCCTGTGACCAGAGCAGGGACTCTGGGGTTAGGCTGCTGGGCGTGAATCCTGCCTCTGTTTCTTGCGGGCTGTATGGCCTCGGCGAGTCACCTACCCTCCTGTGCTCATCACAGCAGCACCCACCTGCCGGGTCCTGCACACGCCTGGTCACTGTGGGCACATGGGTGTGAGCCACCTGCTCTGCCAGGAAAGGGGACACCCACTCTTACCTGAAAGGGAAGAATGAACTGTTCCTCGTAACGGATGGTGGCTTCCTGGTGGCCCTCTCTCTGACTCTGGCTGTTGCCCTTTGGTTGCAGAGGCCGTATGAAATCCACTCAGCCACGCCCATCGGTGAGATCCTCAACACGTTCAAGGCAGAGCGGGTCCACTACTCGTCCACGTGGTGCAGGGGGACGGTGGCCCTGCTGAAAAAGGTAGGGGTGGGAGCCACCAGCCTACCCTGGAGGGAGGGCTGCAGTCACCTGGGTAGACACAGGCATACCAGCAGAGGCAGGGGCAGCATAGCAGGGATGGAAGTAGTAAAGTCAGCTGAGCTCTGCTGTGTGGAATGAGCACTGTCACAGGAGTGCACGCAGATCAGCAAGCTGCAGACCCCCGAGCCCGTGACAGCAACCCTCCAGGCTCTTGTCACTCGGCTGCAGGATCCCAATAAATAGAAACACTCAATGTGTATGGCTTTTAACAATCTTTGCTTCAAATGGTCTTTTAACCCACTGAGCTTTGAGACACTGAGCATCACCTGACTTTTTGCAGGAACTGTTGCTATTAGAATAAAGCAGTGGTTCTCAGAGTGTGGGCCTAGGACCAGCAGCCTGAGCACCACGTAGGAACCTGTTAGAAATGTGCCTTTCCAGGCGCAACCCCAGGCTGGGGTGGTTCTTAACCCTGATTGCTGGTCAGAATCATCTGGAAGCCTAACGTATTGACATCTGTCCCTCCCAGCCCACCCAGTGACTCAGAATCTGGCCCTGGGCCTGGGCACCAGCATGCTTCAGAACAGCTGCCTGTGCAGGGGACCCCCATTCGCATTGAGTTGGAGTCTGTTCAAACTGGCACCCACTGTCTTGGGGCAGCCCCTACAGAGTGGCCTCCATAGCCAGCAGGTACGATCCCCAGTGGTCGTCCCTGGTGTGTGGTGACTCCAGCCCGCTGACTGGGTGTAGCTGGGAGATTTCTGCAGTGACAGCCGGGAGGGAGCTAGCTGTGGGCTCCGACTTCCAGCTCCGCCAGTGGGCAGCAGCATGCTCCCTTCCTCGGCACGTACAGGCCCTGCCAACCCACTGGGCCCATCCTAACCACGAGCTGGAAGTGGAAGAGTTGCCAGTCTTCCTGCTTTTACAGGAGGCAGCTAGTGCAGAGCGCCCAGTGCTTACCAAGGGCACATGACTGGTAAGCAGCAATCCCAGGGACAGGGCCTCCGTCCTTTCATTTTTAGCTCCATACTCTTTGCACTGATAAACTACACTGTTTTGAAATGTTGGAGACCCCACTTGGATGGCAAGGTAATATTATTTGGCTGTTTTTATACTGCATCACTCCATTTTAGCAGAAGCTCAATTTGAGGAGAAGCTAAAATTTGTCCCCTTGGCTACAAATGAGTCTACCCCTTTAAGTCACAGAGGTCACTTCATAGCTTTCCAGGGATAGATTTTATTACAATCTGGTACCTCCTATTACCAAGTTGGAAGTCAGTTCTTTTCTATTTTAGTTGGAAGCCTTTGCGGACATCAGTGAGAGGCAGCCTGGTGCAGGGAGCTAGTCCCAGGAAGGAACACCGGGCCTGAAATGCTAGTTCTGGCTCCACAATAATCCTTGTGTGGATGACCTTGCAGAAGAGCCTGACCCCTCAGTTACTCCCTGGCTACAAAGAGCTGAGTGCAGATGGTGCTTTCAGCGACAGCGACCCAGACGGGGCACCACATGAATGGTACATGAAGAGCAGAGGTTCCTTACATGTCCCGAGACTCCCTCCTTCAGAGTATTTGATGACCTTGGGGGGTGCCCAGTTAAAGAAATCACATCTGTCCTCTGACTGCAGCTCCTGACCAAGGACCCTGAGAGCCGCCTGTCCAGCCTCCGAGACATACAGAGTGTGCCCTACTTGGCCGACATGAACTGGGACGCGGTGTTTGAGAAGACGCTGATACCCGGCTTTGTGCCCAGTGTGAGTTGAGGTCCTGGGGGGTGTCCTGCCACTCCTTTGCATGGCCCCCACCTTGGCACAAAGCATGGCCCCAGCAGCTGGCCAGCGATCCCTTTGTGCCATGGCCACTTGAGCACCCAAGGGCTAACACCTTGCTGGGATTCAGGATGGCCTTGGGCCTGATGGCCAAGGCCCCAGCTGTGCAGCTTCTCTTTCTGTGGTGGGTCCTTTGGGCATGCTGAGCCTCCTCTGCACTGAGGCATGCCTCGAGTGCACACAGGCCCAGGCGCTGGAAAGAGCTGCCCGCCACGTGGAGGAAGACAGGCGATAAGTCCCCCAGCCAAGGCAGCTGGCACTTGCAGAGCAAGCTTGGAAGAGGGGGAGAAGGGGTCAGAGGTGAAGGGGCAGGGGCCTCATTTGGGGAGAGTTGGCAGAGATGTGCATGAGTGAAGGGCCGGGCATGCAGGGGTGGACGCCGAACCTCCCAGGCCAAGGGATATCAAGACCACATACCTCGAGGCAGCAGAAAGCCTGGGCTTCACAGACAGCATGGAGGCTTTACGGCTAGAATGGAATAAACCAGAGAGAAATAAAAGAATGAGGCTGGGCGGTGCATGTCATGCCAGGAAGGCTTCCGGCAGCTGTAGTAAAGGTTTTGGGTTTTAGCCCCTGAAAACTGGGCAGCAAAGTACAAATGTCGGATTCACATTTTGGTGGGGGCTGTGGCTGGAGGTGGGGGAGGAGCTACAAAGGGCAGAACAGGGAGCAGACAGGAGGCGCCTGACCTCCGGGAGAGAAATGCTGGGAGTTTGGAGCTGCACCGAAGCCACTGTGGCCCCTTCCTGCCGAGAAGGAGGCCTGGAGGGTTTCTCCTGGAGGGTTTGCAGAGAGCACCTGGGGAATAGTGACAAATGGGTGATGTTCCAGCCCGGCCACCTCTGTGACCTTGGAGAGCTCACCCTGCAGCTCGGGCCTCCCCTGGCCCATTGGTGACAGTGGATTATGTGACACTTGCCCTGCCCAGTGGTGCTGTGAGCCTGAAAGGCCGCAAGAGCTGGTCTTTGTTGCTCCCTGTTGCAAGCCCTGTTGTCTGAGTGGAGGGAGAGCCTCAGGCCCAGAACGCAGAAGAAACTTGTTGGGGCCATCAGACTGGGTTCCGGGAGACCTAGACATCCCAGGGGGCGTTTCATGTCAGACTATCTTACACACTTCCGTCGCTCCTTTCGGCACAAAAGCAGTGTCTCCACAAATCAGTGTCCCCAGAATCCAAGGCTTCCAGCTCCCTTTCCGTGAAGCAGCCGCAGCGTGCGCAGTTCTGCACTCAGGTCCCCTGGCCTGGTCGGGCTCTGTGCTGAGCGCTGAAAGCCAAGCTGGGCCGGCACCAGGCTTTGCGTGTCTAGTGCCACGCAGACGGCGAGTCCCTGCCTGGTAGCCAGGCCGTCCATCCTTGAGGCCTTGCCTGCCTCACCTTGAGCACGCTTCCCTCCTCCCTCCCAGGCTGGCTCCAGATCCCGGCATGTGCTGTCCCCACTACCTGGCCCTTCCACCTGCCCAGAGCGGCTTGTGCTTAGGGACTCTGCCCTGTGGGAACTTTCTTTGTCACCCAGGTGGGCATGGTGCTGCCTCTGGGCTCAGATGGCCCTAGTCCTCACCACCCCACCCACTGTCATGAGAAACAGGCCCGGCAGGCTCAGTACAGAGGGCTGCTCAGGTGGTGCCCTCTCTGCCTCCCACTGTGAGCTGTGGGTTTCACCTGGTCAACCGCGAGCTCTGTGTGTGTGTCTGTGTGTGTCTGTGTGTGCCTGTGCATGTGTTGTGTTTGTGTGTGCCTGTGTGTCTGTGTATGTGTGTGCCCATTATATCTGTGTGTCTGTGTGTGTGCCTGCATGTGTCTCTATGTGTGCCTGCATGTGTGTGTGTGTGTCTGTGTGTGCCTGTGCATGTGTTGTGTCTGTGTGTGTGCCTGCATGTGTCTCTATGTGTGCCTGCATGTGTGTGTGTGTGTCTGTGTGTGCCTGTGCATGTGTTGTGTTTGTGTGTGCCTGTGTGTCTGTGTACGTGTGTGCCCATTATATCTGTGTGTCTCTCTGTGTGTGTCTGTGTGTGTGTGTCTGTGTGTCTGTGAGAGTGTGTCCACGTGTGTGGGGTGGACAGGTGTGCCTTGCGGACAGCAGGGGCAGCCACAGGGGCGATGGCTCAACCCTGGAGGGCAGGACAGCCTCAGTCCTAGAGTTTCAGTCCTCTCGGCCCATTTTCCACCAGATTTCACGGGCCAGTGCAAGTCAGTACAGGTAAAAGCATGGGCTCCGTTGTCACCACTGCCACCCATTCTGAGTTCGCTGAGCACCTACATCCGCCAGCACTGTGCTGGGCGGAGGGAACCCCAGGGAAGAAAGCAGTCGCTGTGCCAGTGCCAGGCGCTTACAGCCAAGTGCCGGAGCCTGGCTGTGGCTCGGCCCTCAGGGAGGGGTGACTCTTGGGGGTGGGGGTGACCTGTGCCCCGTGGATGTTTAGCAGTGTCCCACACTCCACCCGTGAGCTGCCGGTGGCCTTCCCTGGGTTGCGACAACCAAAATGTCTCCAGGAGCCCAGCACCAGGCCGGGGAGGGCAGAGGCCATTGGCCCCAGGGGACCCAGGGAGGGATCCCAGCAGGCCCCAACAGAAAGGTGGGGGCCCCTGCCTCTAGGACTGAGAAAACAAGGTGCACAGGACATAGGATGCCACGCCATCCCACGAATGACACGAGGACAACAGGAACATTATTGGGCACCTCCTGCGTGGCTGGGCTGGGCTGGGCAGAGGGCTTTTCCAGCACTTTCTCACATCAGCCTCATTGCCCTCCTCTTACCGCTGTAGAGATAGAGGCCCGTGGAGGTTTAGTGACGCCGGGAAAGCCAGCACCGCACCTCTCCTGTCTGCAAAGCCCCTTTCCTCCTGCCCCAGGTGGTGACGCGGTGCCTGCTGATGCCAAGCAGTTAGGCAGCCTGGACAAGGCAAGTCCGTCTGCAGGCAGCAGGACCCCTCTTGGGACCCCCGCCACAGGCCGGGCAGCTGCTGTTCTAGACGCTTGGCACGCACTATCTCAGCCCCTCCCTCCCTTGGCAGCCTCTGAGCTGCCGCGCTGTGCACTGCTGAGGAAACTGAGCCCGTCGGCTGCACGGTGTCTCGCAGAGTCACACAGGTACAGGTGAGGCTGGCGGCCCTGAGCCCACGCCCATCCTTTCTCCTTCGTGGCCCGGGCACAGCAGGCCCAGGTCTAGCAGGCACGTGACAGCCTCTGTAGAGAGGACTTGCTTCACACCCGGCCCTGCTCGAAGTGCTTTGTAGATATTATATTATTAATTCCCTATAAGGGAAGTGTTGTTATGCAAACCTTACAGATCGTGAACTGAGTCCCAAGGAAGTCATGAAATGTGTCCAAGATCAGAAAGTAGCAGAACTAGAACAACTCCAGAGCTGTTGAGGTCACGACCACTGCAGGGACTGGTGTCCTGGCGGTCGCCAGTTCTAGGGCTCAGGACTGAAAGTGCCTACCAGGGACCTGGGGCCCAAGGCCGGGAAGTCAAGGAGGCCAAAATGCCTTCTGACCTTCTGGGTCAGGGCACCAAGCCAGGGAGTTGGGTAGATTTTGACCAGAAATGGTTTTTTAAAGTTATTTAGGATGATTTATAAAAAAGATAGTAATGGCATAAGAATGTGTATATGATAAAATAATAAGTGAAAAAAATCAGATTGGAAAACTGAACTCAACTTCACATAAAAAGCGTACATAGAAAGGAGACTCAGGTAACAGGGTGGAGTCACCCCAGGGGCAGGATCGTGTGTATGAACGGTGCAGGCAGTGAGAATGTGCTGCTTTTCATCAGAAAGAAAGAAAAGGTGTGACTGATGTGTCCCACAGTGGTAATCATTAGTCCAGTGCATGAGTGACTGACTGAATGGACGAATGGAAAGAAAATTAACTGCTAGGTGGAACATAGACAAACCATGTTTTCTTTTCTGCTTCCCTTTAGAAAGGGAGATTGAATTGTGATCCCACATTTGAACTTGAAGAAATGATTCTAGAATCCAGGCCACTTCACAAAAAGAAGAAGAGGCTGGCAAAGAACAGGTCCAAGGATGGCACGAAGGACAGCTGTCCTCTGGTGAGCACTTCCCAGGAGCAGTCCCAGGAGGGCGGAGTCCGACCCTTCCACGAAAATGAGCAAGGCTACTTTGCGCCAGCAGGGCCCGTTTCACTTCTTTCCAGTGACCTTCTTTGCCAGTAAATAAACTGCCACCATCAGACAAGCAGCCTTCTCAGCACAGAGCTGAGGGAGAGCCGCTTTAGGTCGGGGCACTCACAGCCCTAGCTCCCTGGCAGCGCCGTTTCTAGGGCAGGAAGCTCATGTAGCCTGAGCAAGAGGAGGAGGAGCGGCTCTGAGCAGCATCTGCTGTCCGGGCGCTGCTGGAGCCCGTTCCCCGCGAGGCCTTGGCGGGCGGGGCGCTTTGCCTTCAGGCCCTCCATGTCAGTTTCCTGGGGCTGCCACAACAAAACACCACGGGCCACTCAGAACAACCTAAATTTATTCTTTCACGGTTCTGGAGGGCAGAAGTCTGAAATCAAGGCGTCAACAGAGCCAAGTGCTCCAGGAAGGCCGTAGGGGAGGGGCCCTCCTTGGCTGTCCTGGCTCCTGGGGTGTCGGCATCCTTGGCGTCCTTGGCTTGCAGCTGCTAATATCTCACTCCAGTCTCTCTCCCCTGCCACGTGGCCTTCTTCCCTCCGTGTCTCTGTGCCTTCTCCCGGCCTTCGTGTAAGGACACCAGTCGCTGGACTTAGGCCTACCCTAGTTCACTGTGGCCTCATGTTAACGTGATTTCAAATCTGCAAATGTTCTATTTTCAAATAAGGTCACATTTGCACATACCATGGGTCAGGGCTCACCATGTCTTTCTGGGGGACACACAGCCCCTTTCTCTATAAAAAATATATTAAAAATCAAGCAGCTGGCATGATGATCATGACTTTCTCCTCATGCCTCTTGAGTGAGCCTATGGAATGGTCAGAAACCAACCTGATGATTTTCATCCCACACTCCATTCTAACTTGACTTTTAAGTTGAATTTGATTGTTTAAACTTGAGAAAATCATCATTGTCTGCCAGGCTCCCCTTGGACGCAGCTACCCAGGCAATCAGGGCCAGACACTTAGCTTGTCCCAAGTGTCCAAGGTCCCATCTAGATCAATCTGCTGCCCTCCTTTGCTTTGCTGCCCTGTCTTTCTGGACCATGCTCCTTCATTTTGTCACTTCTCTGTGCTCTTTGACAGAATGGACACCTGCAGCAGTGTTTGGAGACTGTACAGAAAGAATTCATCGTATTCAACAGAGAGAAGTAAGTCCTCCAGGTAGCAGCCCTGGGCCGGAGCCCATCCAAAACAACCCAGGGTCCGGCCCCTCTGGTGGAGCCAGCCCCGATGATGGGGGCGGGCATCAGTGGGTGAGGACACAGGGTCCTGCAGGGACGGAGCTCCGGGACTTGCTCTAGAGCTGCGCTGACTGCACCTCCCTGGGCCTCAGGGTGCTCCTGGGGACAGGGAAGCCCATGTGGAGAGGCAGCTCCCAGCACGTAAGAGCAGGAGCCCTGGAGTGACACTGCCTGGCGACCAGGCCCTGGCTCTGCCACTGCTGGAGTGACCCGAGGCAAGGTACTGAACCCCAGGGGGCCTTCTCGGCATCGGGCAGAGGCTTCCTTGCAGTGTGGGGTTGTAAGAATTAAGTGAGGCTGTGGGCACAGGCCCTGGCATGGCAGGCGTGCCCAGCAGGTGAAACGATGGCTGCTGTGGCTGCTGACTCAGGTGAGGTGGGGTGGGCAGCGGCATGGGGTCAGAAATGCGTCGCAGAGTCTGGCGGGCTCAGCTGGGGTGTGCCCTGGCCACGGGACAGCCCTCACAGGGGCTGGTCAGCCACAGAAGCTGATGACACAGGCTTGGTCCCCGCTGACCTGAATATCTAGGGGCTCGTCTGGCAGTGGCTGATTTGTCAGAACGAAGGGCTCGAGCAGAGGCAGTGGGTCAGCCCCACTGGACCACACTGACCCAGGCCTCAGGCTAGCAGAGACAAACCAGAGATCCCTCTCACATGCCAGGAGGGCCAGGTGGGTAAATACCAGGCTGGAATGTTCAACTGCGTCCGGCTGTCCGCTGATGACAGCAGCACGTGGGTGTGCTATGGCCAGTGGCAGCCCAGGGAGGTGGCTTTCAGCCCAGGCTCCTGGCTCAGCCCAGGTGCTCAGGGAAGCTTCCACGCCTGGCCGAGTCCTGGGGGACCTGTAGGAGAAAGGCATATTGCTCCCAGAGTGGGGACAGTGGGCAGAGAAGGGACACAGTGTGGCAGGCTAGGGCCCTGCAGCTGGTGAAGAAGCCTGATATACCAGAGCCTGGAGGGAGGTGAAGGACGGGGCAGGGAGGGGCGTTCGGGTTCTAGCCATGGGCCGGGCATGAGCAAGGCAGGGCTCCATTCCCAGTGGGTGCTGGGGAGGCACAGGAGGCAGCAGCCTGTCATCGATCCTGGGTGGCTACAGCTGTGGGCCGGCAAGTACCCAGGTCAGCCCAGACTCACGCCAGGCCTGAGCAGCCAGCCTCAGCCCCTGGGCATCGCGTCTCCTTGGTCTCCCTGCTCTGGTCTCTGCAGCCACAGCCCATAAGACTCGGGCTCATCCCAGTTTCCCTGCAGTGCTCCTGCTCTGAGGCTCACGGCCCCTCCCCCAGCCCTAGAAACCCAGACCCAGGAACTTCAGCTCAGAGCCCGGCAGGAACCGCAGGCTCTGGCAGCTGCCATCTGCCCGTGCGTGGGCCCGGGAGTCCTCCGGGAGCAGCCGCAGGCAGACGTGAGCCTGGGAAAGGCTGAGCCACGCAGACCCCGAGCAGACAGCATTCTCATTTCACGTCTGCTGTGTGCCAGAGATGCTTCAGTTTGGAATCTAAAGAATCCAAAGTGTTTCTTTCAAAAGAAAATGAGAATGAGACATACTTCCTGTGTCATTTAGGGGTTGTATCTGGCTTCTTTCAGCAGAAACCCAACTATATAGTAGCTTCAACCAATCTAGATGTTTTCTTTCTCACGTGGAAATGTGAATTGATTAGGGAAACGTGGTAGGATCACCCAGTTAGGCTATGGACGGACCCCTTTGAGGTTTGTGGTCATGAATGAGGCTGGCGTCACTTATAGGCGTTGGCAAAATGGAGAAAGAGGGCGTAAGTCTTGTGTTCCAGGCAGGGAGTCAGGGAACAGCATATGCTGAAGCACCAGGCATGAGAGAACGTGGCCACGGGGGAGCCGTCCGCGTGGGCCTGAGCTGTGGTTCCTGCTCCTTCATGCCCCCGTGCTCACCCGGGCACCCCCTTGGCGGCCCTGAAGGCTGACAGGCTGCCCGTCAGAGCAGGTGTGCAGGCTCACCCACCATCTAAAGGTGTCCAGGTGGGAGGACCTGGTGTGACCCCAAGATGCCTGCGCGTCACACCAACCCCACCCCTGCTCCGGGCGAGAGCCGTGTTCCATCCAAGCGCAGCCCTCGCTGCCGCTGTTTCTCAGCAGAAAAAACGCCCAGGAGAAGACGATTCACTGAGCATAATCCGCCCCGACCAAGCGGTTTTCCTTTAAAGTAAGAAAAAGCGGGCCCTGCTCATCCTCCACTTCCTCCTGCAGGCCACCTGCTGCGTTGGCACTCCTGCTAGAAGGCTGAGCCGAGCACCTCCCTCCGCACATCAGAAGTGCGGTGAGGGGGGACCGGCCCGCCGGGCTGTCCAGCTCCCCCGACCACCCTGCTCCCGGCAGCTCTGCCGCCTCTGGTGTGCGCGGCCCTGCAGCAGGCCTGCCGCTGGCTGCTCCCGCTGGTGCAGGGCGTGCGGGCCTCTTCTGCACAGCATGGGCTGCAGAGATGAGTCGCACGGGGGTGCCATGGGCCCAGGGGCACATGTCAAAATCGCCTGGGGGCCTGGGAGCATTCAGAGCTGCTGCACCTGCTGTGGGTTGCACCGTGTCCTTCAGGTACGCGGGAGTCCTAACCCCAGTACTCAGAATGTGACCTTATTTGGAAATAGGGTTGTTGCAGATGTAATGAGTTAGGAAGCAGGCCTACTAGAGTAGATTGGGCCCTAAATCCAACTTGCCTGGTGTCCTAATAAGAGGACAAGAGTCATGGGCACAGGGCGAAGGCTGGGTGCAGACAGAGGCAGAGACTGGAGTGAGGTGGCCACAAGCCAAGGAACACCAAGGACTGCTGGCCACCGAGGAGCTGGGAGGGAGGACTGGAACGAATTCTCCCACAGAGCCCTCAGAAGGAACCAACCCCGCCTCACCTAGATTTCAGACTCGAGCCCCTAGAACTATGAGAACATGCCTTTCTGTGGTTTTAAGCTGCCCAGTTGGTGGTGCTTTGCTGCGGCCACCCTGGGACGCTAGTACAGCTCACTAACCCAGGCGTTCCGACCCAGAGGAGAGACCCAGAGGCTAGGATCTGCGCTGCAGCACGTCCTCAAGCCATGCGGGTGCTGGACGGAGTGGGGCGTCTGCAGGGGACGGTGTGCTCAGACTGCTCCTCTGACTGGTTCCGAGCCGCAGGGATGCCCATGCTCAGACCCTCCCTGCCCTGCCCCTGCCCTAGCATCCACCTGCACCTGTCTAAAGGATGCTCCTGGGCCTTGGCTCTCTGTACAGCTGACTGCCCCTCGCATGGGTCAAGGGGCTCCGTAACAGAACGGGCCCTAGGCAGAGAGAAGGGCCTGCGATCGCTGACGAAGGCGTCATCCACGGAAGTGGCGAGTGAGAGCAGAGACACGAGAGGCTGTGGGCAGGACGTCCCCTCCCACCACTGCATTGACAAGCTGTAACCCGACGGGCCTGTCCTCGGGACACCGCAGCCTGGAGGAGGCCAGCCACCCGACAGCGCAGCGCGTGCGGGCAGGGAGCTGCTGTGGGCACAGGAGGGTGCCCAGGCTCTGACCTCTGTGGACGCTCATTTCTAAACAGAGAACAAAATTAAAATTGGCACTGCCTAATTTTCTGGAAATGCAGTTTATTATTGGCTAATGGTCTCAGCTGGCCAAAGGCCGCAGAGCCAGGTGGAGTGTCTGCTTCTGGGGTTACCTGGGGCTGTGAAGGCCACGGCAGCTGAGGTTTCCATCAGTTTGAGAAACACAGTGTTGGGCTCGTCCTCCTATTTGTGGCCAAAGATCTGAGGGGGAATGACTTCTCCAAGAGGTCTTTTCAATAACATTTGACAAGGTTTTGAAGAATTAGAAGCTCCTGGTGAGAAAGCAGTTTATGGAGCTGAATTTTCTATCCTTGTCATTACTTGCAAAAGAAAAAAAAAAAACATTTAAAATCACATGAAAGCCACTTTGGGAGCCCTTGAAAATATTACATTTAAAAAATCTAATGCTACTCAGGCAACGACGGAGAAACTCTGGCTCCGTTTCCGGCGTCCCTGGCTGCACGCTGCGTGTGCCCTGGTGCCGCCTGAGGAGGAGGCTGGCATGGGTCGCTGCGGGGAGACTCTGCAGCCTGGACCCTGCGTGGCGGAGGAGGAAAGCATGGCGGAGTGAAGGTGACCCCGGACTCCGGCTCCCAGAGAAGGAGACACACAGACCTTGGTCTCCTACACGCGAGTGGGTCTCCCCACTACAAGGGCAGCATCGAGAATCCGCAGAGGTTCAGTTCGGGACTCTCAAAAAAGAAAAAACAAGGTGATCAGGAGGTAAGATCGCATTCTCTGGAGAGTGCAAAGCAAACAGCAGGGCTGAAGCGGGATCAGACCCACGGGAGAGCTTCCCCATCGGCCTCCATACCCACCCAGCCAGCGACCTGCCTGATTTTGGTGCGAAACCGTGTGGAAACTCCCCTGGGCCCCGTGCTAGGACAGCTCCAAGACGGGAAGAAACCGAACTGAGCTGATAGGGGAGGCAGGTGGATGTCTTGCCTCTGGTAACGAGCGGGGCCAGCCCTACAGAGCTGCTCACTAAGTCGGGGGCTCTCAGCTGGAACTGCCTCGGGAGAATGAGACTGCACAGGGGGGTCAGCAAGAGCGAGGGCTGCGGCTGAACAGGCGGGCGGGCAGGCGGCATAGAGGAGGCGACGGGGTGTCCAGACGACCCAGACCCCCAACCCGGCACCTGCCACCTCCTAAACAGTCGCCCCCAGTGCTAGTGCCCTGCAAGGGGGCAAGTGGTCACCACTGAGGGGGTCCACAGCCCACAATCTGCGAGCAGCTGGCCAGGCCTGGCTCAATCAATGAACAACTGAGAAGACTAACTGTCAAGGGGAGTTACAGCCACTGGGGCACTGGGGTGCAGGGCAGACTGGGGAGCTACCTCCTCCCCCCAGCCCGCATCTCTC